GAATTAGAAAAAATAAAATATATGAAAGAAAGCTAAGACTCTTTAACAGAGATATGCCTTGTACAATGAAGGCCTATCTGGAAAGTAGAGTATAAGTGTAAAAAAAAAATAAATTGATGTACTGTGACTTGCTACAATAATTCATATTTGGGGTTATTCAGTAGTCTTTTTATGCTTTTCAGGATATTTGATGAGTAGTAGTACTAGGCACTATGATAGATACTGCAGTCAGCAAGATGAAAGAGATACTGGCCTTTTTTGTCCATGAAGATTAAAGTTTAATGAAAGAAATGTAAATAAAATATATATTAGATAAATATTTTGGATATCAGATTGGAAGGAAATATCATAGATGAAATGAAGCAGTAGTTAAGTCTACCTTTATGACAATGGTCAGTGATCATAATGGTGATCATAATGGTGATTCATCTAGACGCTGCCTCCCATTTGTTTCAGGACAGGGAGAGTGGCACCCCTGAACCCCAGACCTTTCTGCATTAAATAGGCTCTGTCATCCACTGCATCAAGACAAAACATACTTGCATGTGTCAAACCTTTAATGGAAAGGACCTTAATACAATTACTGTGCAACAAGAAAAGACAATATAGTTTTCAAATTCAACACCCAAGTCACCCAGCTCCTGGGTAAGTGCCCAGCCAAACAAGCTTGGCCCAAAACAGGGCCACTGAGGCCTGAAAGCCTGTCACAAGTCTAAAGCACCTTCTGGTGGGGACCCATAGAAAAGGGTCCCAACACATCTGGGACAAAAGGAGCAAAATAAGACAAAAGCTGCCACTCTCCCCCTCTCCCCCGCCCTGCCCCAGTGTCTCACCCACATCTGTGTCATTCAGTCCAGGGCCAAGAAGCAAGTGCAGCCTGTTCACCATGTGCCTCCTCCAGGTCTGCTGGCTCTCCGCCATCCTCCTTCCTTCTTCAATCTCTTCTGCAGCTTTTCTCTCCTCCCTGTTCAGCTTCAGCCTCCCTTCATGGGGCAGAGAACCTGGAACCTCTTTTTCCTGGGGACCACCCTGTTACAAATTCATGATGAAATTTTAGGGGAAAAAAATCTCTTCTCTGCTGTAATAAATTGTTACCAGTAATTGTTTCTAGCACTTTAAATATTATTTTGTTTCTTATTCTTCTAGAAATTTGGAAAGTAGTAGAAACCTACCCAGGAATTATTAAAACTACCATTTCAGGTATTTTATTAGTTATAGAATATTAATATCTGCCCTTGCTGTGTGTTCTATGTTTAAAATATTGGAAATGAATTCCTTTCTTATTTTCTTTTTTAAATATATGTTCATAAGCTAAACAACCAACCTGTCTACCAATTATAAAATGTTTATTATTTTGGCCTTCCCTGGTGGCACAGTGGGTTGAGGCGCAGCACTGCAGGCAAGCTGCAGCCGCTTCAGTGCAAGTTTCATTCCCCACCCTAGAGGTGACCCACATGCAGACCTCTCCTGACCTGCCCGCTGTTTCCCTCAGCAGTGTACTTCGCCAGTTGGCCTGTTCTGCTCCCCACTCTGTTTCTGGTGGATCCTTTCACTGCCCCTGTGCCCCTGGCCTGTACCCCAGTTCTGTATGCATAAATAAATAAATCTTTAAAAAAAATGTTTATTATTTTACTTGTAAGAGTAGGACCTAAAAAATTGTAGGAAATTCTGAAAGGTTGAGATTGGAATTGGGAAACTTGAGTATAATAGCAATCATTTGAGCCCTAGGTTGCAACCATATTAACAGGAGGAGGAAACCCTAACAGGTCTGTAAAGTTCTTGTGGGTCAGTAGAGGAGGACAGAACATTAGTTTAGGAGAAATTTGCTGCATCTCCTCAACCAACTTGCCCTCCTTGCTTAAGAATTGGGGTTCTGTGTGGGAATTTATTTGAAGAAATGTGTTCTGCACATAAAAATAGTGTAATAGTCACGATCAAAGAAGGGATGGTCAAATGCTGAAAGTGAAACACCTGAAAGAACTGATGCAATAAACTCACCCAAAATCTCCAGAATGTCAATTTCCTTGTCAAAACAACCACGCAAGTATTCATATGCATCCTCATATCCCTTTTTTTAAAATAACTTTACATATAAAAAATTTAGAAACTACTTAAAGCATTATAGTAGACAATGCTGATAGAATATTCATAGTGATAGAACTATTTTGAATAGAAAGTATACACCATATTTATATTGATGATTAAAATGACAGCTAAGGGTACTTAAGGCTTCTTTACTTTGAATGTTTTTATTGTACCAGACAATGTGTTTTAAACCAGAGGGCTATGAGGATGCATATGAATACTTGTGTGGTTGTTTTCTAAAGGAAATTTGACATTCTGAAGACTTTGGATATGGCATTGGTTCTTTCATGTGTTTAGCTCTCAGGCTTTCACTGTGCCATCCTTGATTGTGATTGTTATACTATTTTTATCATTGCAGCTATGATCAGAATCTTTTGTTTTTCCTACACACACACATACTGAGAAAGAGGGAAGGAAGCCAAATGACTTTCCTAAGATTATTACACTAGTGGGCAGTGAAGAAGGTGATAAATGGGTTTTGGGAATTATGCATTTTTGGTGAGAGATTTAACATGACATTAACTGAGTTATGAGAGATAGGAGTGGGACTGTGCTGGGGAATATGAGTAGATTATGGCTCGCAGGTTCTCTCCCACTGAAGGCAGCAGAAGGGGCAAGCACACATTCTAAGTTGGTGGTGCTTTTGGCTTGGGATATTAGGGTTTTCCAGAATGCTATTTCAGAACATGCCTTGGGATTGTATATTATGTTAATCTGCTCAACTCTGCTTACTCTTCCTCTGAACAGTCCTTATAGCCTTGGATTTAGAGCATGATAAGTAAATACAGAAGTCTTTAGTAGTGGTACCTATTAAGCTAATACCATTAGAATCTTTGTTCCTGATATAGCTTAGTTTTGGAATACTAAAAAAGCAATCACAAATGACTGAAACCATTGCTTAGGTATACTATTGATATTTAGAGCCTCTTTTGATTGAAAAATATCAAATGGTGCCACTTATAGGAGGAATGTAGAGAAAACAAAAAGGGATTAAAAATAACTAAAAGTAAAAATGAAAAACATCAGGCAACTATAGATCATTTCTGTAGGGGAGGAGAAGGGAGAAGGACCAGGACAGGAGTGGGACGAGCACAGAGGACTAGGATGATGGTGCACGAGGGAGTTGGTAGTGGGAATTTCATGAGGAAACCAAACATTGTACAAAAATGAAGGGTGATATGTATGACTGTATATGACTGATATAGCTTAATGACTAAATTAAAAAAAAAAAAAGATGTCTTTTGGCTCCAAAGAAAGAAAGAAAGGTGATTGGAATGAACAAGCTCAAATCACAGCCATGAATAACTTACTCAATTTTTTTTCAGGAAAAAAGTCATATTTGCTATGTGTATACATTGAACTAGAAATAAAAGCTACTGGAAACTGAAGTATGAAACAACTTAAGAGATGGGCTTGTCCATTTCCTCCCCCTTTCTTTTAGACTAAAATTTATGTCTAATGTGAATATGTTTTACTTTGCATTTCAGGCACTGTTTTTTCCTCTACAATCAATGGGTGTTTTTTCTTAGCTTACTTACTGGTGGTTTCTGTCTTTTTTTCTTTAACTTACCTTTAGTCACCTGTTTAATGAGCTCTTTGTCTTATGTTTCATTTATTAACACCCATTACTAACTTTCCCAGTTTATCCTAACTCACATCCCTCAGAGAGGCCTGGTTGAACAAATTATGTTTATTCAGGGACTTTATACCTGGGAAAAAGATTGAGTGAATCCACCGATGTATGCCATCAACATTGATGACCTAAAGATTGATCTCCTTAGTGAAATTGTTTGCAAATTTGGAAGTTGGCAGATTCCACAAATAGACTCTGTTACTTCTGTATAAGAAGTGGTTGCTAAACTGTTATTAGCATACCACTGGGTAGATCTTTAGGTGTTGGAATACACAGTTTCTAAGATGTAGTCTTAGAGAATCAAGATTAAGATTTATTTACTTATACATAACTGAGGTACAGGCCAGAGGTGAGAGGTGTGAGAAGATTCACCAGAGACAGAATGGGGAGCAGAACAGGCAGATGTACAAAAATACACTGCTGAGGAGATAAAATGTTCCAGTTGATAAAATGTTTGGTAGTAGTGTGATTTTTATTCCTGCTGTATGCCTTGAAAATTTCCCCATTCTCTAAGCTTCTGAGAACCTTTGCTTATCTTAGATATTAAATCTGCTTAGCTGGGTATGTATAAAATTAATTCATCTCATCACTGTCCAGTTAGGTATAATTAATGTTCATAAGCATGCCTCTAACATGGCTATTACATCTGCAAAGCAGTTTCCAAATTGTAGGTTCCTACTCATGTAGAGAAATAAGTAATGATAGAAGGAAAGGATAAATAGAATAAGAAATTTCATGTATACTGTTTGATGAAACATTTGTTTCACTTGTGTATATGTGGTGTGTTAAAATTTTCTAAGGCCTTCCAAAATTTAGCCTTTCTTTTCTTAGTGCCTGAAACAGGGGTTGAAAGTTTTTACATTAAAAATATCAGTAGAAGTTACATTAATGTGGAAGATGTATATAAGAACATTCCTATTAGTTTTAGTTTACTCTTTTAAGTAAAAAATTTCTTCATTGCTCTGTAACAATTTTCTTTGTTACTCCATGAGAATGCGGCTAATACCGAAGTAAAAGATGGAGACATATTCTGAAGCTGCCTGCTTAAAGCCCCTATTTGTTATTAGATGGAATGCTGGGTGTAGGCTGGTGTGGTTCATAGTTGGGATCTAGCCTGAAAGACATATTTTTACCCTCAACAAATATCATCTTTGTTTGAATATCTATAGTAAGGTCCTTTTCTCGCTTAGAATGCATCTCAAACTTTTTCCTTCTTGTATTTGTTTCATAAATTGTTTAAAATTGAGCTGCCTTCCGCTTGCTTTTCTGTGTCACTTTGTTGGAGAATGTGTGAGCTACCATCCAATACTCTTGGTATGCTTAAAGACTATAATAATGAAATATTGGAATAGATAAGTTGACTCTATGAGGACTAAAGCTGTTGTTAATTCCCAAGGCCAGACTGGTTATCTGACAAAGAGTAAGTACTTTTTGAATTGAAATTGTGGGTTTATATTTATATTCATTTGTTAAAATGTACACTAGAAAAAACAGCCTACTGTCATTTTTGTTGGATTTGAATTTTATTAACTTTGAATTGTTCATTACAATTTGGGGTTAACTTGGTAATACTAAGACTAAAATGTGTACTTTAGGAATATATACTTGGTTTTTAAAACCCCTTGATAGTTCAAGTGAAATTAGAGCTATTACAATGTTATACTTAACAGTTTTTAAAATAGTTCTTAACAGGTGCTTTTGTGTCCAAACAATTTTCCCTGTATACTCAAGTATTTATCCCAAATGTCTTTTAATCCTTACAGAATAAAAAATTTAAAAAGTATGAATTTTAAAATTTTATATAAAAAGTAGAAATTGTGCATCTTATACTTTGAAATCTTGTTATATAGAAATAGCAATACAAAGAATTTGATGCAATTTGACTTGAATAATATAATAGTATTTAAATTTGATAATAGTATGCAATGTATGTACAAGTAATACAGCTTTTTTGTTTAATAGTTGCCTGGAACTTTTTGTGCACTTGCACCCTGACACAGACAGCAACTGATAACCCTTGTGGTCAGTGTTTAGGATGAATTCTTAGTTCTTGCAATGGAATTTCTAAGTAAGAAGTAAGATTGAAACTGAAGGGACTGTTCTGGTGTAATTTTTAATAAACTTCTCAACTAAGTTCAGACAGTATGAAACAATTTAACTATAGTAAATACTAAATCAGGATACTATATGGGTGATTTCCTTATAATGTGGATTATTTAAAAAGAACGGTTGGCATTTTCTTCTTCTCTGAAGTAGTTTCAGCTGTAACTTATAAAATTAGTTTTACTTTTAATCCATGTTTTAAAGAATGCATTGATTTGTATTACAACTTTTTTTTCCCCCTGTGGGAAAATGTAAGGATAAGGAATTTCTAAAGGATTTTTAAAGATTTAGAACTTATTTGACCAAGAGTCAAATCAGTCAGTTACTCTGATCATCATGTTAAAGCATATCACCTTTCTCCCATAAAATTAGGATAAAATTTCATCCAGTTTCAATATGACTCAATTATATGGTTAGACTTTTCCTTTCTGGAAATCTCCAGACTGTATATGATTTCTCAAGAGTTTGCCACAGTGAGATTTTTCTTGGAATACATTGCATTTTTACTTCTAGCTCCATACAGATTCTAGTTCTTGGCTTTACATTTTAAAGGTTTTCATTGGTAAGTTGAAAATATAGTAGATATACTAGGAATAAAGCACTCAGTTATAAACTACATTGAAACAAGGCACTTATCTGTTGATCTGACCTAATACCATAAAAATTCATGCTTATCAGTTCGATAATGGAAATAGAGTTTAATGAGTAGGTAATTTACTAGTTTGAGTTTTATTTCCATTCATTTGCTTTATCCTTTTGTAGAAGTGTTAGTGTAATATTTTGAAGTTGAACAGTAGGAATCAAAAAAAGGAATTAGTAAAAAGTCCATAAATTTAAAGTAGGATAATGAATATGAATGTGTATATAATTGAGTTGATTACCCCAGATTACTGATTGTATTAGTTCACTTTGAAAATCCGAACAACTAGTCTCTTTTTGGTTATTTTTATTGAACCATTCTGTTACTGATTCATATTTCTCACAAAGGCTAGCATACTGACACTGTACTCTGAGAAAACTAGTGACACACTTTTTTTCCCCAAGAAGACTTTAAAAAACTAAGAAATTTTCATTTTGCTCTTTTTACTGTCACGAACAATCCTGTATTTGTTTGATTATCTCATTAATATAAAATCCATGGAGGTGAAATTGCTGGGTAAAATATATGCCTGCTTTTAAGAGTTGTGATGCATCATATTGCTTTCTAGAAAGACTATATATATTTATATGCCTACTCTCAGCATAAAGTACTGCAGATTTCCCCACACTGTTGTCAGCGTTGAGTGTCAGTGCATTTTTTGGTCAGTCTGGTTCAGGTGTAAAGTGATGTCTTAAAACTTGTATTTTTTTTTTTTGTTTCTAATGAACTTGATTCCCCCCCATGTTTTGGCTCTTAAATTTAAATTCATTTTTATCAGAGTTGTATTTGACTTAGAGATGCAGTAGTATCTGAGACTTATTTTGAAAAACGACAGTTTCCACACATTTCCCTCTTCAGTGTCCACCCAGTAGAGTAAGGCTCTCTACTACACTGATTTCTTTGTCTGTTTACTTCCATGGCACACAATACCATGCATATATTTCCTGCTTCTGCAGTTTGTCTTTTTGTTTTGAGTTTTTGTAGGGTAAGGATTTGTTTTAAACCTCGGCTTAAACATGCTACATAACCTTTCAACTATCTTTTTTAATAGTATTTTTCTTTTAAAGATTTATTTATTTATTCATACAGAACTGGGGTACATGCCAGAGATGTGGAGGGTGAGAGGATTCACTAGAGACAGAGTGGGGAGCAGAACAGGCAGATCTACGAAGCACACTGCTGAGGGGAGCAGTGGGTGGACCAGGAGAAGTCTGCCACACCATGTGGTCACCTCCGGGGCAGGCGGGGATGGAACTCATGCGGAAGTGGCTTTAGCTTCTTAGTCCTGTGCTTTAACCCGCTGAGCCAATAACCTTTCAACTTTTAGTGCCTTTAACTCTTTAATCATTCATACTACTTCTTTTTAATTCCACACATATCTCTCCTTAGCAACCATTTACTGGGCCTTTGAGGGAAGAGATGTGAAGAATCCCTTTGTTGTCTTTTTAGTGAGGTTTAAAGAAGAATGGATATAAAAATGTGTTTCATCTGCCATCTTTACATGGAAGTGTTTTCTTATGCATTTAGTTACTTTTTTTTTTTTTTTTAAAGATTTATTTATCCATATAGAACTGGGGTACAGGCCAGAGGTGCAGGGGCAGTGAGAGGATTCACCAGAGACAGAGTGGGGAGCAGAACAGGCTAATTGAGGAAGTACACTGCTGAGGGGAGCAGCGGGCCCATCAGGAGAGGTCTGCCGCACCATGTGTGTCACCTCGGGGGCGTGGATCGAACTCATGCTGAAGTGGCTTTAGCTTCTTAATGCTGTGCTTTAACCCACTACACCACCAGGGAGGGCCCATCTTTTTTTTTTTTTTTTTTAAATAAAGTAGCGATTGCTTGAATTTGAATCCTACTGTTGCTGTTTACTAGTTCTGCAACCTTAGACAAAATGCTTAACTTCTAAATCTCACTATTATAAGTAATAGAATCAATATAATACTTGAGAATTAAATGTGGTAATCATGGAGAAGTGCTTTTCACAATATCTGTTGTGTGGTAGTAGCTTACTATCTGTGAGATACTTACTAAGAACACAATTATAGTTGTGATGCATTGTAACTCTTATGAATTTCTTGCTCATGAATTTTGCCCAGTGGAATGCTTAGCTTTTTCTCATTAGTCAGATATACTGTGATTTCTACTTTTGTTATCAATGTTTTTTTTTGAAAAGTACTTGGTGCTGATAAGGGGGAAGAAGGAGGTGGGAGAAAGAGACAAATGGAATAGTAGTTGGGACAGCTTATTAAGGGCACCTGACAGGCTAAATGAAGAAATGATTATTTCAATTACTGAGAAAAATAATTATTAAGCTCTTGAACTAGCTTACATTAGCTTATTTTGTGGACAAATTATCTTAATTAAAAAAAAAACTTCTAGAATGGTATTCCCTAGTGAATTTCATCTGGAAACTTAGAGCTTTCATTTTTAGTTTCTACTTTAGTACTCATTTCTATGACATTAGATCCAAAATAGACTCCTGTTAGATAGGATTTATGATATTCCCTAAACTTACGCTATATTAATACATTTGCTTTCTTTTCAGTATCATACATAATATTAAAATGGCATGTTGATAATCCAAAATTGTAGTTATAGATATTTAATATTTTATGTTTATTGGATTTTACTGGTATGTTATTTTATGTAATCTTGGTTCATTATCTTGGTTTTATGGTGAATTATAAATGTATGATTCTTTGAAAAAAAGTTCACCTAAATTTGATCTCTCCACAGATTCAGATCAAGATGTAGCACTCAGACTTGCCCAGGAGAGAGCGGAAATAGTTGCTAAATATGACAGAGTAAGTATCCATATTTACTCTTTGAGTAAGTTTTATTAGGAAAAAATTGTAAATAAAAATGGTTTTTTTTTTTTTGAGAGGTTAAATTAGATCGTGTTTTCTTCACGTGAACATTGAAATTATCTTTTTTTCCTGACTTTATCTCTGGATTCTTTTTCTTCCCTCTGCTCCAGACACCCTTCTCTGGTTGGTTTTCCAAAACAGGGACTTCAGGAACTTAGCACTAGCTATTTCTTCTACCTAGAACACGTGTCTGCTGGATATCTCTGTTCTTTGCCTCACCTGTCAGATCTTTACCCAGATGCTGCTATTCACTTCTATTATTTTTGATTATTTGTGAGAATACCAGATGCATGAATTACAGAAAACCATCTGGACTGTGCCCTTCTCTGAGGGAGGCATACAGGCAGAGCTCGATTGGATAGTTATGTTCCCAAGTTGTTTTTTTTTTTTTTTTAAAGATTTATTTATTTATTCATACAGAACTGGGGTACAGGCCAGAGTTGCAGGGGCAGTGAGAGGATTCACCAGAGACAGAGTGGGGGGCAGAACATGCAGATCAACGAAGTACACTGCTGAGGGGAACAGTGGGTGGGTCAGGAGAGGTCTGCCACACCATGTGGTCACCTCCCTGGCAGGCAGGGATCAAACTCATGTGGAAGTGGCTTTCGATTCTTAGTGCTGCGCTTTAACCTGCTGCGCCACCAGGGAGGGCCCCCAAGTTTGTTTATAAGTTGTTTGTTTAGAAGATCAGACGATTTCCCATTATTGTGATTAAGCCTATGAAAACTTGTTTAATCAACAGAACTTTGTGGTTTTGAATTTAAAATCAACAGAACAATCACTTATGCTGGGATACCTTTTATCCACATGTAATTAACTGTATGATGCGACTTACTTGGAAAACAGGGAGGCACATATAATCTACAAAATGGAGAGAGCCACAAGACAGCTGACAATTGAGTCAGAAATTTGAGGGATCAATATCGACAGCTACATTTGGGCTTCCTACACTAATTAGTTGTTGCTAATAGCCAGAAGAATAGAGTCTATTAGCAGGTGGGCTGAGGGTAGAGCTCTGGGCAATACAACAGCTGAGCAGTATCATGAACAAAGCATCAGAAGAGCTGGGGGATTGGTATGAGAGGAAAAAGAGAGGATGATATTAGTGGGTGGGAGGACCAGGGAATGAGCAATAGTAACAAGTACACCTATAATATCCATTAGAGAAGGACTGAAGTATGTACTGGATTTGACATTAGTCTTTTTTGATCTTGGCAAGAGTAGGTTCAGGAATGATGTAGCTGTGATAAAATGATGAGATAAGGTGAATAAACTTCTGAGAAGTTTGGGGGAAGAGGCAAGAAATACTTTTTTCCCCTATGATGTATCTAAATTAGCTTTCAAGTTTGGCAGTTCATTCCTCAGTACTTTCTTATTTCTTAAATCTTGGATGCTTCCTCTTTTCCAGTCAGCTTCTTACTGGGAATCTAGCCTGGCCAAGACTTAACTACATACATATCAGCTGTTGCTGATGCATAGTATCTTCCAAAGTTGGTAACTAGGAAATAGTTGATTATATTGTTAAAATAGTTTGTTAAAAAAAGTTGATTGTGGGCCCTCCCTGGTGGCGCAGTGGGTTAAAGCACAGCACAAAGAAGCTTAAACCACTTCCGCATGAGTTTGATCCCCGCCTGCCCCGGAGGTGACCACATGGCCTGGCAGACCTCTCCTGACCCGCCCGCTGCTCCCCTCAGCAGTGTACTTAGTCGATCTGCCTGTTCTGCACCCCACTTTGTCTCTGGTGAATCCTCTCACCCTCCGCATCTCTGGCCTGTACCCCAGCTCTGTACGAATAAATAAATATTTTTAAAAAAAATTTGATTGAGGTTGATAATGTCTTAAGGCAGCTTTTAATGTTAATATGTAACACTTTTTTTGGTGTTTTCATTTGAAAAAAATATTTCACTCAATATTCTCAATACCCTTTGTTGTTCCCTATCATAGGGACGAGAAGGTGCAGATATTGAACCTTGGGAAGATGCTGACTACCTTGTCTACAAAGTCACAGATAGATTTGGCTTTTTACAGTAAGTTGCAAAATTTAAAACTAACTTTTTAAATTATAAATTTGAATGACCGCTTATTAGTAGCCTGTATTTTTATTTTAATGAAATTGCTGTGAACTAGATTTTAGGACTGGCCCTAGAATATGCTTTAATTTGTGGCATTTTTAACCTCCAAGTTGCAACTGAACTATGGTTAAGAATACAATCTTTAATATTCATTGCATTTTTGTAATACAATTAAGTGCAGTAAGTGAATGTATTAATAATTTAACTGAATTAAATGGATATGAATAACAATTTGTATTTAAAAAATAGTTATATTTCATTTTATATAAATGTACTTTAATGATAATCAGCAGTAAGAACTTTAGTGTTATGTGGCTTAAAAACGAACACTGAAAAAAAATGCCATTGATCTTTTCTATAGTTGTAAATGTATTCAGGCTATTGCTTTTCAAATTAATTCCATTTATCCTGAGTATATTATATAAAGAGCTGAGAGAGGTCTAGACCAAATAAAGTGGTTAGAATGGTTTTAAATCTTAAAAACATCCTGCAAATGAGTTGAGTTTGCCTGTTTTGCTTCTGACAGTGTTGTCAGTCATACTCCCACCGGCTGGAGGCTTCTTTTCATCTTATCTGTGTTTGGTTCCATACAACTTACTGATTATCCTCTCAGTCAAATTTACTTTGTGTTCTTGTTTACTCTAGATAGGAAAAAGTCAGGGATTTTTTATTTTGATATATGATTAAAATTTGAAGAACATATAATTTCTGATAGATCCTTATGGTAACCTGCAACACTTGTTTTACTACTGAGTTTTCTTGCGTTTAGAAGTATTTTTGTTGTATCCTGTTTTTCTGAGTTTAAAATAGCAAGCAAACAGAAACAATTCTGGAACTTAGTGAACCTGTTCTTACTTTTCTTGCTGTGTTGCTGGTCTCAGCCGTTTCATGCCTTGTGTAAAACAGAAATCATTCATTGCTCTCATAACTTAGAGTATACTAGGGGTTTTGTAGACTTAGAATGTAAGAATGCTGTGTGAAAGTCTGGACAAATGTGTTATTCTACCTAATGTCATTAACATATGAAATATTCTCCTGACTGGTTATAATAGGAAAACTTTGAACTTCAACAGATTAATAGTAGTCTTTAATTATGATGAAAATATTCTTTCCTCCCTCTTTTTTTTTTTTAAAGTAAATGAAACTTAGCCACAAGTGTGATTTCACATTTGTGTGGGTTAATGTACATACCTGAAGTAGTAAATGAAATTTTGTGAAGAAAACTTGAGAATTTAGCACTGTCAAAGATAGTGACTCCCAAATTTCCCTGCATATGAAAATCACATGGGAAATATTTGTTTTTAAGTAGATTTTGGAGTTTTACTTTAGATTTTGACTTAGAAGTTGGATAGCAACTCAGCTCATTTTGATTTCCCTAGTGTTCTAATGGGAGGGAACCACTGTAAAAAATGTTTTTATGGTAAAGTAGTTTCATATAGTACAGAAATATATTGAAACATTGTCTAAATTTTCTTTGCTCTTTACTTAAATGTGAGCTAGGTTCTAATCTAAAAGCCCAGTCTGGACTTCTCTTGTGGCCTAGGGCCTAGGGCACTAACCTGCATATGGTGCAGCAGACCTCTTCTCTCTTGCCTGCTGTTCTCCATAACACTGTATTTCAGCAAATTGGTCTGTTCTGTTCCCCATTCTATGTCTGATAAATCCTCTTATTCCCCCTTCTCCCCCCCCATCTTCTGGCCTACATTCTAATTCTAACAAACAAACAAAACCTCCCAAGAAATTACTAAAAGCCTATTCTGCATTTTACAGTTATTTCACATTGATTTTTGCCCTCAGTATTAAGGCCCATTAGTTCTCCAGCACAAAAGCAGTCAGTAACCTGTCTTAATAATATTTGCTAATGTTTATTAGTACAGTTCTAGGCTCTTTATAATAATTAACTCATTTGTTCCTTCAGAAACTGTTTGAGATAGGTGCTCTTTCTCTCTCTCTCTTTTTTTTTTTTTTAGATGAAATACAGAGAGGTCAAGCAAATGCCCAAGTGGTGCTGATAGCATAAGATCTAGAATGTGGACCACAGCAGTCTTATAGCAAAGTCTGTGTTCTGATTTCTGCATTATACTTCTTAGTACAACTCATCTGTGGCTTAATAAGAAAAACTCAGAAGAAAAGCTTTGAAATATCTAGAAAGAAAATTAAAGGGGGAATAATGGGCGCCTAAAGAGGATTTCTTTATAATGATCACTTCTGTTGAAGTTAACTCAAATAGCTAAGCTTGCCATTTCTTTGAAAACAAAGTCAATTGGTGCCATGCCATAGCATCACACTAATTTTTTTATTTGCTCCATAATGTACTCCAAAGCTACAGCGTAAGTGAAAATAATGAAGCGTATAAACAGATTTTAATGTAATGCTAGTTAGTCTTTATTAAATTTTACAGAAGTCATTGGCTTTTGTTACAATTCCTGATTTCATTAAAATACACTTCTGAGATTGGTTCCTTTCATTCCTGGTTACTGGAGGGTTTTTTTTTTGGTCCTGAATAGTCTAGGCATTTAGACATTACTTCCTATCACACCATGATCAAAAGGTCTCTTCTTTCTGCTGTATTAGTTCTTTTTAGTTCTTGATTGCTTCTGCAATGGATTGGGCTGTAAGCATCGGTCTCACTGCAGTAAGGTGGCCCAGAGTCATGTTTTAGCCTTCTTTGGGGCTGTTGAATTCATACCTTAATTATAATTTTAGTAACTTAAATTCCTTATTGTGATGTGTGAAGGATGACAGTAATTAACATATACAGTACATGTATAGCTTGTTTTATAACAGATTTCACAATAAATATAAAAAGTCTTGCCAAACCAGCCTGACTTGATGCTGAAACAGAAACATCTTTGTTTAATTCTCAGAATTGGGTAGTCATCCTCTGTCTTTATATTCTGAGGATGGGGTTACATCTGGAGAATGGAGAAATAGGGCTTGCTTATCTAAGAAGTTAGAGAAGTTTCGGTATTTAGAATTTCAACATTTGTATCCAAAATGGTCACTGCTAGTCTGTTCAAAGAGGAATGCTTGGTATTTGGATAATAATGGATAATGACCTTAGGTTACAAGTTATTAATAGAGGAATTAGAAGGAAATTCTTATAAAAAATAAAGAATACTAAGCTTTAAATTTTTAACTGCATATCAGCATGTATGTATTTACTAATATTAACAGGTTGCCTGTTGTTTAATATGACTAATAAATATCTGAAAGCCTGAATGAAGGTATTTTTGTTTTTAAAGAATATTTGTTTGGATAACAGGGCTTGAGAATTCTTTTTACCCATCTAATAATTTGGAAGAGTAAATCTCAACTAAACATAATATTTGCTACAAAACCAAAAATTTTCTAGCATATTTAACTTACTGATATTAACAAGTTTAAGTTTTCAAATCAAAGTTTTCTCACAGTTATAGATATACTCTACCAGAGTCAATTTAAAATTATAGGGACATATACAGTAATTAGTAATTCATTTACATTTAGTAGCATATGAAAAAACTAGATCTAGATCTAGTTATGGCTCCTTTTTGTTTTGGGGGACAGTGATATTTTTATTATTAAATATGCATTTCTGTGGGTATTGGTTCTTTTTGTAGCTTGATGTTTCCTTTTATAAGCCTCTATGTGCTGCTTTCCCTAAGAGTATAAGCTTTTCTCCTCAGCAGCAATGAGGCAAACATTTTCTGTAAAAAGCCACAGTGGGTTAATGCACAGCACTAAGAAGCTAAAGCCACTTAAGCATGAGTTCGATCCCTGCCTGGGAGGTGACCACATGGCCCAGCAGACCTCTCCTGACCCACCTGCTACTCCCCTTAGCTGTGCGTTTTGTTGATCTGCCTGTTTTGCTCCCTGCTCTGTTTCTGGTGAATTCTCTCACCACACCTGCGCCTCTGGCCTATACCCTAGTACTGTATGCATAAATAAATAAATCTTTAAAAAAAAACTATTCAAAAAAAGCCAAATATTAAATAATTTTGACTCTGTGGGTGATAGTCTTTGTCACAATTACTCAGTCCTAGCATGGAAATACTCAACAGATAATACATGAATGAATGAGCATGACATTGTTCCATTAAAACCTTATTTACAAAAATGGATAGTAGGCCAGATTTGATTCATGGGTTGTATGTAGTTAACTATACTTAAAGGCATACTTTGTATTTACCCTGAATTTGGTCCATTCTTTTTTTCACTTTAAAAAAAAATTATTTTTTTTTCCATGTGTGCTCATGTTCCCCTCACTTACTGTCAAACCACTCATGCTCATACCTATCTACCTGCCTCCCTTTCTCATCTTACCTCCCTTCCCCTGTTCCCTCTGGTGATCATTATATTCTTCCACGAAGTTCAAGATTTATTCTACTGTACTTTTGCCTGTGTATGCTTTTTTTATTGTTTATATTATTATTTTTCACTTTTTGACTTATTTACTTAACACTATCATCTCAAGGGCCATACCCTTTACCACAAATGCCAGTCTGCAATCATTTTTTCATAACTTTGTAATACTCCATTTAGCATATATTCCACATTTTTTTGTACATTTATAAAGGGCACTTGGGATACCAAATTGGTGTACAAAAATCTGTTGCATTTCTATACACAGATTGAAAAAAAGTCTATCAAGAAAGAAAATTTTCGTTTACATTTGCATCAATAAACAATAAACTACCCTGGAACAAATTTAGTCAACGAGATGACTTTTTTTTTTTTTTAAAGATTTATTTATGCATAGAGAACTGGGTACCTCGTGTACAGAGGTGTGGGCAGTGAGAAGATTCACCAGAGACAGAGTGGGGAGTAGAACAGACAGACTGACGAAGTAGTCTGCTGAGGGGAGCAGCGGGGCTAGACAGGAGTGGTCTGCCGTGCCAGGTGGATCACTTCCTGGGCAGGGATGGAACTCATGCTAAAGTGGCTTTAGCTTCTTAGTGCTGTGCTTTAACGCACTGCGCCACCAGGGAGGGCTCCAAGATGAAAGACTTTTACATTAAAAACCAAAAGATAGTAATGAAAGAAATTGAAGAAGATGCGAATACATGGAAAGATATTTTGGACTCTTGGATTGAAAGAATTAATAATGTTTAAATATCATGCTGGGCCCACCCTGGTGGCGCAGTGGGTTAGGACACAGCACTGCAAGCTAGCTGCAGCCGCTTTAGTGCGAGTTTGATCCCCAGCTCTGTAGGTGATCTACATGGTGTGGCAGACCTCTCTGACCAGCCCGCTGTCCCTCTCAGCTGTCGATCGGCCTTCTCTGCTCCCCACTCTGTCTCTGGTGAATCTTCTTAGCGCCCCTACACCTCTGGCTTGTACCCCAGTTCTGTATGCATAAGTAAATAAATCTTAAAAAAAATCCATGCTACTCAAAATAATCTACAGATTCAATTCCTATCAAATTTCAAATAGCATTCTCACAGAAATAGAACAAATAATCCTAAAATTTGTATGGAACAAGAAATACTAAAAAAGAACAAAGCTAGATGCATGACACTCCTTGGTTTCAAACCCTTACAAGTAGTTTCAATAGTATAATGTTGGTATAATAACAGACACATGGATAAGTAGAACAGAATAGAGAACACTGAAATAAACCTTAGTTAATTAATTTCTGACAAAAGAGATAAGAATATACAGAGACAGGATAAGTCTCCACTGGGTAGCATTGGGAAAACTTAACAGCCACATACAAAGGAATGAAAATAACTACTGTCTTATAGCAGACACAAAAATCAACTGAAAAATCAATTAAGGACTTTAATGTAAGATAAATTATAAAAGTCCTAGAAGAAAACTCCTTTATATAGTTAGTAAACTCTTTTACATCGATCTTGGCAATACTTTTTGAATTGACGCCAAAAGCAAAGGTTAAGAACAACAAAAATAAATGAATAGGACTGTATGTATCAAGTTAGAAACTTTAGCTTCTGTACAGCATAGGGAATGATTTGCAAAATGAAAAGGCATCCACAGAATAGGGAGATTCTGATTCTGTTAAGGGTTCAATATATAAATAAAGAACTCATTTAACTAAAAAAGTCAAGCCAAATAAAAACTGGGCAAAAGATCTGAATAGACATTTTTCCAAAGAAGACATATAGGTGACAAACAGGTACATGAAAAGGTGTACAACATCACTAATCATCACAAAAGTGCAAACCAAAACTGTGATGCAGTATCACCTCCCACCTATCAGAATGGATATTATCAAAAGGCCAGAATTAAATCTTGGTGAGGATGTAGAGGAAAGTTGAATTGTGAAAAGACTTACTGCTCCGTAAAGTCTAACTCTTAATATTTAAATATTTGCCTTTATAGAGAGATTGCTGAGCCCTGGTCTAGAGCATGTTGTCTAATAGAACTTTTGCACTAGTGAAAATGCTTTTTCATATCTGTTCAGATCAAAATAGTAGCTTCTGTCATACATTTGAACCATGATCAGTTAGACTGAGTATATATGTTCAATATAATATGATTTTATTATGCTTAAAATTAAATAGCCCTATGTGCCTAGAGGTTATTTTATTAGCACAGATCTGGCGATTTAAAAATGGGAGGGAGTTTGTGTTACAGGATCCCTGGAAACTTAGATAGTTATTGTGAGAACAAATAAGTGGTTGCTCATTATATGTCCCTATAGATTTATAATTATTTGTAAGTTTGCTGTGGTCTCACCTACTGTTTTTTCTCTGCAGTGAGGAGGAGCTCCCCTATCATAATGCAGTTGTGGAACGGGTAAGTCTAGCTCTGAATATATATATATATAGTTCCTGGTGAATTATGTTTACCAGCAGAAGAAAATCTGCTACCTCTTTAATGTAAAATAGTCATGTTAGAATTTGATATTAAGTATATCACTGTAAGAAAGTCATTGAATTAATGGGGAAATAATTTCAGGAAACTTCATGGAATTTCTGATAGATTTTTGAGGAAAGGAAAGGTAGTAGTTACCCAAGAAGACTTGTATTCTAGGCAGTAATTCTCAGTCTTAGAAGTGCTTCAGAATATAGAGTTGTTCATTCATTGGTTGATTCATTGATTTTTTTCCTTTATTATAACACTATATATAGTTTAGGGGAATATGATCACTACTCCTTAGATGTACGTTACCATCGAACTTCCACCATTCAGGTACCCATAGTCCTTTAGCATAGACCCTATGGGGAAAGGCCTATAAATCCCTGGTCTATTTCTGTTAAATTCTCATTCTGTCTTCTATCACTTGCTCTTACTCATTACCCCCTTATGTTTCTGTAGTGTACCACCAAATTACCTCTTTCAGACCTTTACCACTGGCTGTTTCCTGTGCTGAATGCTCTTTTCTGATAGTGGCAACTGGCAGTTGCAGCTACTTTAGTGTTCACTCAGATATCACATAGAATAAAGCCTACTCTGGTTATCATATCAAGAATTGTGAACTTCTTCCCCCTTCCTCTGCCACATACACATTCAAATCATCTTCTTCTCTCCTTTGTTTTTCTCATTAGTACTTAACACTATTTCACATACTAAAAATTAAACCTATATCTTTATATTATCATTTTTCTCATTGACATATTACCTCAGGGGGAAGAGGAAGCTGCTGGTGGTATCCAGAACCAACAGTTAATGTGTATAGTCTCAGCTTAGTAAGTGGTGGCTGAGGTAATGACAGTTTCATAGCTAAACAAGTTGATTTAAAGACTGGCAGACATTGTCCTTTTGAAAATTTTTTTATTGGCAAAGTTAAGAAGAGAAGAGCTAGAAGTCATCTTTAGCACAAGACAACCTATGTTTGGTAAAGTCAACTCCTCTTTCCAGTGCCTTTCTTTTGTGTCTCTCCCCAACTCTCCTTTTAAAAATAACTTCCTGGCCCACAAATTCCAAAAGTTTGGGAGCTACTGGCATAGAAGGTCCAAGAAATGTGACAGTGAAAAAGAAAATAAATAGGACAGTGTTAGTGGAGGTTGCTTGCTTGAGGGAGGCTGTTCGGTTTTAAATGTTGTTTTTGAAGAGACTTGTCTATATAATAGGAGACTTCTTACCGAATGCAGTTATACTTTAATTAGTTGCTTATGCTAAAAATTTTGATACAGGAAATCACTAGAAACTAATCATTGTACACTTTGGTATTTTAACATGAGATAATTTTATATTCATATCTAAGTCTTATTGAAGGAGGAGTACATTCTGAGGCTGTTGATTGAAATTTCATTGTGCTTTTTGTACATCAAATGCACCATTGTATGACCTACTTTTTACAGGTTTGCTTTCTTTAAAATGGAATGAGGACTTTAGACATATGCAAATTAGTCTAAGCTGGAAACTTTTAGTTTATCAGGATTTCCCAATTTTCTCTGGTTGAAGTTTACTTTGTATATTTTTCAGTGACTACCTACTCCTAAAGATCAAGCTCCACCATTTCTAGAAAACAAATTTTAAAATTCTGCATATATTACGTCAGTGAAAAAGTTAATGGAAACATAGCCTTGCTGAAATATACCGTATTTATTAATTTTTACAAAGCACACAATTGAAGCAGCTGTGTATTGCTACCTGGGTAGACTTGTATGCTAGTACTGATGCATAGCCAAGTAACCATGGCTTCAGTTCCAGCTTTGCCAGTGTAGTATTTTGTTTAAAATAGGAATAGTAGTAGGCACTCTCTCATAAGGATTAATATTGATATTTGTAAAGTGCTTGGATCCCTCCACACAGGCACTTAAACAAACAAACACACTTATTATATTTACTCTGCAGAGAACAATGTTAATAATGGATTACATTGTGTCTTTGTGCTTATTTATGTTTTTAATAAAGAGGAAAGGATATGTAAAACTAAACTTTCATTAATTCAGCTATTCTTTTATGTAGTGTAATATTTTGTTTGACTTATACAATATATGGGCGTATTTACATACTTAAGGCCTGTATCTTCAGTCACATCTTACTTAAGGTATATAAAAGACCAGTAGACTTCTTACTCCATCAAAACAGGACACTTTCCGTCTTGTACTTCTTGGCCTCTCCTGACCTCTGCTGGTGAGGTTTCGATGTGCATAATTCAGTCAACTTCATCCTCAGTCATACATCCTAATACTCATGGGGAAAAAAAAAGCATCTGAAGACTTGTAGTTAAGTTCAAAAATTTTTTATTCTAGAAGAGAAGCCTGTATAATATCTATCCATGCATTGTATATGTTTAGCCTTTACTGTCTGGACTATTTATCATGTTAATAGTGGGAGGAACCTTGCATGAGATAGAAGACAAATGAATACTCTGTGGGTGATTACTAACAGTCCTTAGTACTTAATAGTCAAAGGCTAAGTCATCATAGTCTAGAAATACAGTTGCAGATCACTGGAGGTTGAGAGGCAACAGAGAAGACACTGGTCCCAGTTTTAATACTTATACTCTCCTTGACCTGACTCAGAGGGGACATCAATTTAAAATAACTTGGGGCCACCTGGCTAGCTCAGTTGGTAGAGCATGAAACTCTTAAAATAACTTGGTATCAGATTATAAAGGTCTAAAGACAGTTTAGTCTTCCTAAAAACAACTCATGGGAAGAAAAGTATACAATAATGTATCAATTTTGAGGTTAACGTAGATAATGTAAAGATAGAATAGAGACTAAGACCTGCATCATTTTCCATTTGATGTACATTGTTCTGACAGGACAGGAGTTAGTGCCCTCATCTAGGAATCAGAAGTGCTCAACTTGGACACAGGACTTGATGGGCACAAGAGACCTGAACTAGCAGAATGTAGGTTGGGGGTGGATGATAAAAAGTAGGCTGCAAACTATTTAAGTTCTAATTAGTTTGCCTTAGTAGGCAAAGATATTTTTAAATCTTGTTAGGGAAGAGATGGGTATTAGTAGTATGTTTACAAAAATCATTTTGTTGAGTTTGAAGTCTGTTGAACTTAAGTGGATATTCTAACTCACTGTTATATTCTAGTTTATCCTGACGTTATAGCAAGATGATGTGCTTCAAGTTTATTTTTCTAGAGCACTGAAATTTACATTTGTCACATGTGTTTTTAGTTACTTCATACTTTAGTTAGCTATATCCTATTTGGTGGTAAAATATATTTTATCCATAAACTGTGGATAATGTTAATGGATATTGTTAATGGAGTTAACATTTAAATCTAATTCAACTATGGAATTTAAATATTCTATAGTTTAGGAACTTTTTCCAAAGGTTTATTACCATGTTTTCCCCAACGGGAAAAGAAAGCATACTTAATGGTTCATAAAATTGTGTGTATTTTGTCCTTGCCTTTGTGAGGATGAGTAGCATTTAAAATTTTATGCATACATAAGTGTTAAAATACAAGTGTGCCTTTAAAAAAAAAGAATAACTACTTCTTAAAGTAATTCATTGATAATTCATAGTCATAAAAATGAAAGATAGCAAGAGATCTGAAAGATCTCAGCAGGGTTGTCCTGGCAAAGTGTATGTTATTATACTCTTGGGTTGGCTTGAATTATTTGGTGTTTTCCTGTTGGTGGGGAAAAGGATTGTGCTTTGAAAGAAGGCAAGGGAAGGAAGTGCAGAATAACAGCAACAACAAAAGAAACAAAAACCAAATGGCAAGTAGAGCAATCATAATTTTTCACAGGTTGCCCTTCTCAAAAGTCACATTTAGCAGAAACATTAATTAGATTTTAGTGCCCTGCTGAGTTTTAAAATTAAACATATTTCTGGAACCATCTGTAACATTTTATCACTAATAATATGATGAAGAATATGCTTAGCCTTTTTGAAGGATGGGAATTGCAACAATTTTTTTTTTGCTCAAAAGATATCTATTATTAAAAAAATCAAAATTTTACAGTGAAGCAATTTAAGAACTTTAAGAATATGCCTGGAAATAAAATAATGTAAAAATATTCTCATTGCTAAGAATCAATACCCAAATCCAGGATTTTAGGGGAAAGGACTTACGTTTCCTTTATACCTAAAACTGTTGATGAAAGGCATCTGCCTGCCTGAAGCTACATTGAAGATGGTCAATAAGGAGCTCGTGTTTTCATCTGAAAATTATGCCTGAACAAGTTCAGAGTACATGATAAAACAAGAGTCAAAAGATGTGAAGGATGCAAGTCCAGAAGCCAACCTACCTGGCTTTCAAACCTCATCAAGCTAAAACTTATTCCTTGAGGGATTTGGACACATGGCTAGTCCAAGCCCTTTGTACCTCTGTTTCCTTTTTTGTAAAATGGAGGTGATTATACCTACCTCAGGGGGTTGTAGTAAGCAGACATTTTTTGAACCTAAAATGTATCCTCTGAACAATTTCTTTCTTATATGGTCTTCTACTTCTGTTGCTTTTTATTCATATACACATGCACTTATAGAAGCCTCCAAGAAAGAAGATGTGGGGATTGAAGGGAATTAACAAAATTGTAATCTCAGCTCGTTAATCAGAAAGAATAATGATATGCCTTATTTTCTGAAAGTAGGTACCTATTTTGTGGTTGGTACTAATTTAGGCACTGGGAAAGTAACAAAACCTCAGCTTTTGTTGAATGTAAATAGTTAGGAGAGCGTATAAGTTAGATGCAGTAGCTAAGGGCTTCTTAACAGAACCTTATAAGTATATAGACTGACTTATGGCCAGAGAGATCACCATAGACTTCCTGACTGAAGAAGGTATTTTCTCCTGATGGAGTACAAATGTGCTCTGAGGGCAGACAGGCTGCCAAGGAAAAGAGAGAGGGCTGGCTGAATGTACATGCTCAGTTCTTTTCCGAGGTTTTAAATCAGTTAAGTCATTCCTTATTGGTGAATAAGAGATTGGAAAACAGCCCCAAGTATTAGGGGGAAAAAATCCCTCTTCTGGAAACCAAAGAAGTGAGGAAGAAGCATTTTTGTACAAAGTACTTCTTTCCCCAGCTTTGTCCCAGATTTCTTTTCGTGTGATATATCCCCCTCACATTTTCCACCCATCTCCTCATACTTCACTTAACTCTTTAGAGCTGCTGTTCCTTCCCTTGTGGTGCTGAGTTATCTCAGAACTACATCTACACATGTTTGTTATACTCCTACCCATGCTGTACTTGATAAAAATCCTAATAATTTTCTATTCTGCATTAAGACTCATCTTCTCTATCAACCCTGGTGGATTTCACTGCTCCATCACAGCCTTGCTGCTACCCTTCCTGTTTCTAGCTGGGAGAACATAACACAGTATTTTATCCATTTTCCTTAACAAATCATGACATTTATTCTTTTTGTTCATGAATGTGTGTGTTTGTTTATTTATTTACTAACATTGGCGTACAACACTGTACATGATGTAGGGGCAGGTTCACGCCTCCTCAGATGTTTGTTTTCACACTATCTTCTCCACTCTTTGTTCCCCATTCCCACCCTCCCTTTTTCTCTAGCAGCTTTAATTCTACCAATCATTTCTAGGGTTTGTTTGAGTTTGTTAGTTCCTTTGTTGTTTTTCCTTTATATTCCACATGAGTGAAATAATCTTTGATTTGTCTGTCTTTATGACTTATTTTACTTAGCACAACCTCCTCTAGTTCCTCCAGTATCCAGTCTCTTAGTATTTGAGGACTGCCATACTGATTTCTATAGAGTGGAGTGGTCTACATTTCTACCAAGACTCCATGCGGGTTCTTTTTATCTCTGCATTCTTTCCAACATTTGTTGGTTTGGCTTTTTGATATAGATCATTCTTACTGGAGTGAGGTGGTATCTCATTGTGCTTTTGGTTTGTATTTCTCCGACGATATGTGATGTTAAGCATAATTTAATGGGTCTGTTGGCCATCAGTATGTCTTCTTTGGAGAAGTGCTTGTTTAGCTTTTCTGCCCATTTTTTGGATTGTGTTCTTTGTTTTCTCTCTCTTGAGAGTAGGAGATCTTTGGAATAGCCCCTTGATAGATGCACAGTGTGCAGAAGTTTTCTCCCTTTCGATGTAGTGTCTTTTTGTTTTAATGATCGTTCATTTTGCTGTACAGAAACTTTTAAACTTAATGTAGTTCCATTCATTTATTTTTGCTTTTGTTTTCTTTGCTATTGGAGTTGATCCCCAGAGACAGACATTCTGGAAGCCATTGTTGTAGAATGTTTTGCTTATTTGATTATGTTTCCTTTTGTGTATTTTATGTTTTCCAGCCATATTATAGCCAACTCTTTAATTCATCTTGAGTTTAGTTTTAATTTTCCGTGTGTGGCTATCCTGTTTCTCCTAGCACCATTTGTTGAAGAGACTTTCCCCATTGCGTACTCTTTGCTTAGTTGTCAGAAATTAACTGTCCATATTAATGAGGGTATTTTCTGGTCTCAATTCTTGTCCACTGGCATGTGTGTCTACTGTTACTCCAGTACCATACTGTTTTGAATATACAGCTATCCTTGTAGTATAGTTTGAAGTCTGGTAGCATAATCTGGTAACATTTCTTTAAGGGTGGCAACTATTATTTTTGTATAATTTTTCACTAGCAATATTGCTTTGTATATAGTAATCTCTCCACAAATACACATTTATCCTTTAAAAAAATCAACTCTGGTGCTTCTCTGCTGGCACAAGGGTTTAAAATACACCACTATAAAGCTATACATAGCCACTGCGGCATGAGTTTGATTCCTCAGCCAGGGAGGAGACCCACATGGTGCAGCAGACCTCTCCTGTCTCACCCACTGCTCCCTGCAGCAGTGTATTTCAGTAGATCTACCTGTTCTATTTCCCAATCTGTCTCTGGTGAATCCTCTCACCCCCTGTACCTCTGGCCTGCACCCCAGTTTCTGTATGTGTGAATAAATAAGTGTTTTTATTTATTTATTTATTTAAAAAAAAAACAGTTCTGTCATTGAAAACTTTCAGATGCTAGAATTCAGCAAAATTCAGAAGTGGAATTTTGAAGTTGTGGTTTTTGCTTCATAAAAAGTATTTTAGAATGTTAATTGGTTTAATTTTAAATTGGTTTAAATTTATAGGTTATATAGGGGTTTTAGTGATTTGTTTTAGTGTTGGAAAATTTAAACAATTTCTTTTTTCCTATCTCAGTGGCACATTGCTTATGTATCTTAATTTTAGCTGCGGGATACTAGCGCTACAAATGTATTCAGCTGTAAAACTTAAAAAGTTAGCCTTAAAAAAGCTATAAAACTTTTATAAGAAACCTCAAATGAACATTAATAATAAATTTCAATTTTATTTTAGCAAAAGCACCTGGAAATTGAAAGAACTACCAAATGGTTGAAAATGCTAAAAGGATGGGAGAAATACAAGAACACTGAAAAGGTAATTAAGCACCAATGTTTCCTACATCTGAATCCACACAAATAATTCAAGGTGGATATTCCCAGGTACAAGTTTTTCTTTAATTACAAGTATTATCTTCATTAAAAAATATTTTAATTTAATGACATGTCTCAAATTAGTCTTTCTGTTATAATAGGATACGCAGTACAAGCTGATTTCAAAAATTAAGCAAATGTATTAGGTAATTCAGAGGTAAGATAGGTGTCAAGAGTGAGGTAATTCTGCCCAGTTATGTTGCTGTGACTAAGTAGTTTATTCATCTCTCTTCTCTACCTTCTGCAGTGGCAGCTTTACACAGGTGTTGGCTTTCTTCTAGGGTCAGAATCATTGCAGTAGTTCCAGGCTCCTTATTCATGTGTCTTGCTGCTCAGCTGGAGAGGGCCCGCCTTGAAGACCTTCCCCTGAAGCAGGAACTTTTCCAAAAACTGTTAGCAAACCCCCACCCCCCTTAAATCTTTTTGTCCTGCATGATTTTATTAAGTCAGTTGAAAAATATATACACTCATCACAATGATTAATATCACCACCAATCTCATCAGGAAAATCTTCAAATATAAGGAAACTGTGAAGTTCATGGGTGGGAAGTTTCTTGAAAATATAATTTTTACTTGAAAGGTTAAATGTTAACATTAGTAACAAATACTATCAGATCATTTCCTTAAAGGAACAGATTTATTATACTTCATCATTTGCAAAAATACCTGGTAAATACCCACATATGAACAACTTAATTTGTTTAGTCAGCCTTTCAAGTTGTAAGGATGTTCCACAAAAATATTGATTTGTTCCCAAAAAATATTAGTTTTTTTGTGCCTTTTTCCATCTCGGTTGTAATCCCCGTGGGCTTCCCATCACCAGATCACCTGTGTGCCATCACCATAGTCCAGTGCACTTCCTGCCCCCCACACTCCCCCATTTTTGATCCCATTCCACACTCTACCACCGTAGAGTCTCTGGTATATAAGTGTTCATTTTTATTATTATTTTCTCCCCTGGTCCTTTATACTTCTGCTATGAGTGAAGCATCCGGTATTTTTCCTTCATAAGTATCCTTTCCTAAAGCCAACATTATACTTCATCAGGCAGCAGAAGTTCTCCATGTATTTATACCACTTCATCACTTAAGAAATTAAGACATATATTTAAGAAGTGAGAGTGAGTAAAAATTAATCATTTATACTGCTTTGTCAAGGGCTTTTCAAAGTGAAACTGACATTAAAAAATAAATTGTGGGTGGAAAATACAGAAACTAACACAAGGACTACTGCTAATTGGTACAAAGGTATCAGTATTTTGCCACCATTGCTTTTCTACTATTAGTCACCATAATGAAAATGGCAAATAACATTTTAGTATTATGAAAGCTCATCTAAACCTCAGTTTCCTTATCTACAAAATACAAATAATAAATAATACCCATTTCAAAAGGATAATGAGGCAATAATTTAATGCATGTGAAGTGATTAATACTGCACCTTTGTAAGCATTCAGAAAATACTACCTACCACTTTTAGTTTTTTGAAGGAAGGTCAAACAATAAAATATTTTTAAATGAAGAAATTCTTTAGAGGGGCCCTCCCTAGTGGGCTAAAGGTTAAGGGTCAGTGCTATCACCACTAGGGCTTGAGTTCGATCCCCTGCCAGGGAGGTGACCCACACAGCACAGTAGATCTCACCTGTCCCACCTGCTGCTCTCTTAGCAGTGTATTTCAGTAAATGTTCTTGTTCTGCTCCCCATTTTGTCTCTGGTGAATCTTCTCACCACCACCCCTACTCCCCCAATGGTCTATACCCCAGTTCTTTTGCACCAAAAAGAAAAAAAATAAGACCAATTACAAAATAAAAACGATATTATATAGTCCTACCATCCTGTGATTGACTAAAGTTGAAAGAGTTAGAGCTAAACAAAGTTAAGGAAGGTTTCTATATTATAGGGCTAGATGAAATATTTTCACATATTGTATAAAAATAGTTGGGACCTCATCTAAACCTCAAAATCTGATATTATGATGCATGTGGGAATTTTTAAGATTGCATGAAACTTATTTAACCTTAGAAGTCTTTTTGTTAAGGGCTTTCTCACCAATGGCACTTTTCTTTTTGACCATCTTAAATATCCTTAGTTTAAATATGTTAAAGCATTATTATTTTATTTTCATCAGGAATGAGTTCATTTTGGGATTGTTGGTTTCATTAACTGTATTTTAGCATTAGGTTGGAACTCAAGATGTCTTTTAAGAGGAATCAGTTTAAAGTAGAAGATTAGTTCCGACACCTATGCTCTTGCTTAATATTACGCTGTCACTTAGATTGTCCGAGAGTTGGCAACAATTTCACCTTACATCTTTTGGGAAAGATTGCTGAAGTAGTAATTACGGAATAAATTTTGATACATTGCACCTGCATTCAGTCTCACATTCAGTCTAATAAAATATTTGTACAATTACATGTTCTTCCATAGTATACATATATTTCTAGAAGTATGGAAGCCTTTATAAGAATGAGTTGTCTGCTAGGCTACTATTCTGACAGCAACTCTGGATAATGTAGTTCCCATTAAGAGACATTTTAGCAGAACTATTTCCTCAATGTATAATTTTAAAGCACTTTCCCAAAACTATAATGCTAGGGTCATTTGATGATGTATATGGTCCAATTTGGTGTGAAACAGAATGCACCTTCTGAAAGAATTGCTGCTATCAATTCATACCTAGTTTTAAATTACATCCAAGCAAAAATAGTACCATGTATTTTTCCTCTTGCAAGAGTAGGTATAAGTTTTTTTCTCCACAGTCTTCACTTACATAGTAGAAATACAAATAAATTTCTAAAAATATCTTGACATAAAAATACAGATGTGCTAAATATTTGGACTTTCATGAACTTTAATGAACCAAAGTTTCCATGAAGATTGTTGCCTAGTGCCCCTTTTCTATAGTAGATTGTACTTAAAAAAAAAAAAAATCTATTAAAGGAGGAAATGAAATCATCTCTGCTGAGTTAAGACCATTGAGATTTAACTAGTCATGATGTAATTGTATCTAAACTATGCCAAACCAGAGTACTTACAGATATTTTTCTATTTGTATGTGTATATCAAATAACTGAAAGGATTTTTGTTGGTCAAATAACAGCTCTATTAGCTATGTGGATTTGTATTAGAAAACATTTTTTTTTTTTTTGGACAGGAAAATAGAGTCACAGTATTTAGAAATGAATTTGTCAAGGCCACCCACTTTGTTAGTAACAAGCAGAAGATCCTGTGTCCACCCTCTACATATAGCTTGTTTGTTGTACCATCTTTTATGTTAACTTTCTTTTTGATGGTTGTCAATAAAAGGTTAGTAGGAAATAGAATACAGTTATAAAAGGCATTAGGGCCTTGTGGATGGTTCAAAACCTTTATAGTCTAAAGTTAGGGGACTCATACTTATTGGCTGCAGAAAATCAGGGATGAATCAGGGATGATGAAAGGAAATGGAAAGGCAAGAAAGAACAGAAGTAACTCGGCAAGTAAACTTTGCTTCTAGTACATACTTAGAGTTTTCTGGAAGTCCTACCAAATTGAGCCAGGCTTGCTGGTATGAAAAGTTTACTCACTACCAACTGTGATGATATATGGCTTGGCACATTATCACTGTTTTAAATTCACTAATGTTAGAAATATTGAAAACATTTGGTCACTTGATGGATTTTTTTTTCTTAGTTGTTGATTTGTTAGATGTTTCATGATGAACTAGACTAATTTTATTGGCAAATAAACTAAGATACTAAAAGCAAAAGGTAGATTTTGTTTACAAGTTTACCTGTTTAAAGATTTTATGTATCACATCCATAAAATATATTTGTAACATAATTGTAAATTTGGTGTTTCTCAAAGTGGCATATTGAAGTGTTACTAAATTTCAACATGTAGAAATTTTATAGCTACTAAGAAATTTGAAGTCAAACTAACCAATTTCAGTTCTTTTGAAGCTAACTGAACTTCATTAATGGTATACCTTTCATCTAATTACTTAACCTTTTTTTTCTTGTGTGAAACACAGGAATGATAATAATAGTAGCTGCCTTTTTAGGACTATAATAATATTATAAGGAATAAATTGCTTTAAAAACACATCTGCTGGTTCCCAATGCATTATGAATTGTAGGTAGGTATAACTGTTGTTATTCACATTGTTAACTACTATTTAAGTCATCATTATCCTCACTCTCATATATACCCTATTTCTTCTTTCTGGAAAATTCATTTTTTAGTTTATTGTCATCTTTCTTTAAAGGAAATCTTTCCAAACTTTCTTGCGACTCTCTTCCACCAATCTCAGGATGTGAGCCACTGTGTTGGCTCAGTATAAAGTGATGACCACAGCATATTCACTGCCCTCATCCCCAATAACTTTGTCCCTAAACGTCTTCTCAGCTAGCCTTGGAATCTGCTCTTCTACATAGGGGTAACCTGGCCCTGCCTCCACTCATGAAGTTCTAAGTAGTGTAATGCCCACTACTGTCTTTTTCGCACCCTGTCCCATCTCTGGAGAGCTTATGTCTATCATGATTTCTCTCCTCAATGTGTGATGCTCAGCTATATGGTTTTATTTTAAAGGATTCTCTATCTATGTTCTAATTATCTGCTTGCATACTTATCTTCCTCTACTGCACAATGAACTCAGCAGAACCTTTTCATGTTCGTAGCCATAGTACCTAGTAAGTGTTAGTCATAAAGCAGGCAATCATTACAAAGACTCTTTGTAGAATGAATGAATAAATGGCATTCATTCATGAGTTGGGGATGATCAGCAGTCATCTCTCACTAATTAATTCCACTACTTTAACAAAGCTATTATCTCTATTTATTATCTCTGTGATTGGCAGAGATGCCCTGAAGGAAGAGAAAGAAGATGAAATTCTTTGACCTAGGAAAGCACTTCTAAGTTCCCTGGTTTTCTTCCATTTAAAGTTGAATAGTATCTGCTCTGCTTACATTGCAGAGTTATTATTGAAAATATGACACACTGCTTTGTCAGTTCAGAGATTTTAATAAATGTAAACTTGGCTGCTATTTGGAGAATACACAAATTTTATTATAACTGTTGTATTTGGTGTAATTCCTATTTTGTCCTACAAAATTTATGGTAATTGAAAAATATGTGGGGAAAGATGGAACCATAGTAAGTTGGTCTGTCATGAACAAGTGTTTGAGAAACAGTGAGCAAGATTTAAAAATCTTATTTTAGAAGTCTCATAATTTAATTATTTTTCTGCTTATGTTTGTCTTTTATTTTATTACCTTCTACTGCTTGAATTCCAGATATAGCCTTCTTATATTATTTTTAAGTTTGTGTAAATTTTATTATCATTATTTTAATGTTTTCTGCTCTTGAATTTCTTTAATATTTTCCATTCCACGTTGATTTGTCCAGTTGAGCAGAATGATGGATACTACATGTACTTTGTTTTGGAAAGGTGGTTTTGTATTTTATAGAATATAAAATCAATGTCTTTTAAATTAAAAACTGGTAACATTTGTTGTGCCTTTGGGCACGTTGTTTAGCCTCTTTGTAATTAATTTTCAACATCTGCAAAATTGGGATCATATCTCATAAAGTTGTTAATATGTTTAAATAAGATAAATATCTTTAATTTAAAATATTTTCCTGCACATTGTAACTACTCAGTAAAAGTTGGTTTTATTGTTACTGTTGATGATAAAGTCAATGTATAAATGTTCCCTTTTTATTTTTTAGCTGATATATAATTGACATGTAACAGTTTCAGGCATACAGTATAATCATTCAGTATTTGTATAGGTTGGGAAATTATTACTACTGTGAGTCTAGTTAACCTTTTTCACACATGAATTATTTTTCATGTCAGCCCTGGGTCCATTAATGGTTTATTTTCTATGTCTTTCTTAATTTAATCAGCAATTTGCCCCATTTCCATCCCTATATCTAGATTTACCTTTAAGACAATATAATGGACAGTAATTTATGTATAATCATTGAGTGCAGAATTGAATGAAAACAATAAAATGTCTAATGTCTTCAAGTGATACAACTTAAGAAATATGTATCGAAGCTCTTATTTTACTCAATGAAAACTTTCAGACTGCTGGAGAATTCAAGTCCAATAAGTTGATCTGTTTACTTGAACTTATTCTAATTGACTATTAAAATTTCACTTCTCACATTTTCATTAGATTCTACTCTTTGTATATATTCATATCAAATACTTTTACACTATCACATCTTTACTCTAGAAATTTAGGAAATAATTTGAAATTCTTTAAATATATGTTATAACTTGAACAGAGATAACAGACTTTCCTGAGAAATCTTACATTCACATTTTTAATCATACTTAGTGCTCAACTAATGGTGGTAGATGTTTAGTACACGAGAAATGTTTAAGTACCAGAGTCTAGACTTCACAAAGCCTTTCTGTATGTGTCTTTCCATTTAGAGCTATTGCATGAGTTAAAATTTCAAGGATTCTAGTCATTATTGCTATTTTAAATTTGGGACATACTATGTTTATATAAGAAAGAACAGAACAAATTATGTGATTATCTACTTGAATCAGCCTCACAGTATTAACTCTTTCACAATGGAAGTTGCACAGTGTCACTCATTTTAAGCCACATAATCAGAGTTTCCTAAAATGACATAATGATTTATTTACTTAAACTTTAGATAAATAAAATTTTAGTAGTATGATAGTAGAAACTGTTGTTATTAATTCATAGCTTGTCTGCATTTCAGTTATTGGAATTGCATCTTATAGAGCTAAAGATCCTTAGGATAGTTTACTTTCAAGGATTCAAAGAGTTGATGACACTGATAATTTATACAATTTATACCTAATTTTATTCAAAGGTGGTGACTTTCCTTCTTTTTTTTTTTTTTAAAGATTTTATTTATGCATACAGAACTGGGGTACAGGCCAGAGGTGCAGGGGCAGTGAGGGGATTCACCAGAGACAGTGGGGAGCAGAAACAGGCAGAT